GAGTATTAAGGGAGGATTGTTCTATTTTTACTTTGTATTAGTTACCTTGTTTTCAGAATTGTTGGAAACAAGTGTGTGCATTTAAGAGGATTGTTCTTCTTGCACTTAATGTTTAGATTTTAAAGGATTTAAGAGCCTTTGATCTCCCTACAGATTAGATAGTAAGACATCACCTTTGGTGTAATTAGGCTTGTACAATAATTCTAAACTATAGTGAAATCTCTTCCGTGTTGGCAAGGGGATTGGAGTACTCTCGGACTGTGAGGGAAATCAGGATATATTCGGTGTTATTTATTTTTCCGCATTTACCGCTTTCATATTCATACGCAAACCATACAAATAAGAACATCATCACATAAAAGAATAAAAATTTGTAATCCACTTTATTCAGCCCCGTCTTAGGCGCACTCAAAAACCAACAATTGGCATCAGAGAGGGTTATAGGTAACTTGTTCCTAAAGATCCAAAATGGCTTCCGCAAATTAAAATTCGCTTTGATTTTTGTAGAATTCGCATGAAGGCTCCTTTAGAAGCACAAGGAGAAGAAATATGGGATGCTGTCCAAAATGGTTCATTCGTTTCTACAAGTGTTGTCAATGGTGTTGGATCGTCAAAGTCTAAATGTTCATGGGATGATGATGATAAGAAAAAGGTCCTTTATGATAAGAAAGAAATCAATTTTCTTCAAGGTGCACTTTACATGGATGAATTCTTTCGTGTTTTGTCATACACAACGGTAAAGGAAATTTTGGATACTTTGGTTGAAACTCATGAAGGAATCATTGAAGTTAAGAGGTCAAGATTGAATACTTTAAGCTAAGAGTATAAACTTTTTATAATGCAGCCCGGAGAGACAATTCTCGACTTGCAAAAGAGATTTGTTCATCTGAAAAACCATTTGATGCAGCTCGGTAAGACTTTTACTAATGATGAATTAAATCTTAAAGTTATTAGATCACTGTCTAGGGAATGGAAACCAAAAGTGACAGCTATATCGAAAAAGAAAAGACTTTCAAAAATGACATCCGTGGAATTGTTCGAAAACTTAAAGAACATGAAATCAAACTTGGAAATCTAGAACAACGTGAGATTCAAGATGAGGATTATAAAGGCGTTGAATTGAAGGTTAACTCAAGGAAGAACTCGACGAAGATGATTCAGAGGAATTCATACATCTTGTAAAAAGGCTTGGTATGTTTTTCGCCAATAATGATAAATCTTTCAACTTTGCAAAAAGCGAAAAACTTTTCAGAAATAGAGAAGGTTCTTCGTCACTACACAAAGTCAAATGCTATGAATATGAAAAAGGGAGACACATAAAGATGGAGTGCCCAAAATTGTCCAAGAAAAATGCTTACAATAGAAGAAAATTCTCAAAATCCAATTTTCTAGAAGATAAAAATAAGGATAATATGCTGAAGAAATATTGTATAACATTGACAAGTATAATTTATTTTCTAATATAACTTAATATCTCATATTATAATTTTTATAATTCAATTTCAAAGGTTTTAGATTTGGTAAAGGGTTGGAAAAATACTCAAGCCACATAAATATAATAAACTCATCTTCTATGACATGTTGACTAAACATAATGAAGTTGTAATTTAGAAGATATATCATTAAACAAACTTTAACAACATACATAAAAAACAAATCTTAAAAATATACAACGTACAACATACAAACTTTATTAACAAAAATAAAATCATCAACAACATACATTAAGAAACATACAAAATATAACTTTTATTAACAACAACATACTACTTTTTATCAACAACAACATACGTTAACAACATACAACTTTTATTAACAACAACATACCATAACAAATAACTTTTATTAACAAAAACAAAATCATCAAAAACATACCTTAAACAAAATACAACTTTTATTACTAACAACATACAAGTTTTTTCAACAACAACATATCTTAAAGAACATATAACATATATCAACAAACAAAATTATCAATAATATACCTTAAACAACATACATCATATAACTTTTATTACCAACAAAATAATTTTTTTTATCAATAACAACATACATTAACAATAACATACAATATATATAAACAAAAAAAAATCATCAATAACATACAACATATATAAACAAAATCAAAATCAACAATAACACACCTTAAACAATATACAACATATATCAACAAAAATAAAATCAACAACAATATAAAATGTGGAAACGTCTCATGTATCTAAAATGTGACGAAGAAGTGAAAGAAATGAGTTTAGTGCAACACCTTCCTTGATCTATAAGAGATGAAGAAGATATGTTTGAAATTTTGTGAAGTAGTATGCAACCGTTCATGGAGTTAGACTGGGGCGTGATAGAGAGTTAGAGTTTCATTTTGAGAGAGACTATTGTCTTCGGTCCTGAACGAGCAAACTTTCTCTTAAATATAAGTTATACTTTTCATGACGGTTGTTATAAACGACCGTGATTGAATGTAGGTACATTTCACAACGGTTTCTATTATAGACCGTGCTGAAAGGTATTTTAGTTTTAATATAAATATTATGATTAAAAATAACACGCCCATTTTGTAAACAACAAAAGAAAAATTGTTGGTGCTAGGATTCAAAGCATGTATGTATTAACATATCATTACGGTAACTAATATGGACCATAGTAAAATGGATTTTAATAAAATGAAAAAAAATTTGAAGGTACCTGAATAAGAGCTCTTACTTCAGTTGACTTAATGGCTGAGGTAATAACATATTATGTTAGGTGTTTTTCTAGTAGTAGCTTGTGGATCCTTCTCAATTGATACTCTTAATGCCTTAAACACTCTTAAAATACCGAAAAGAGATAATATGCTTGTTGTATGACATATTCGGGAATCATAGGCTATTTATAAAGTACTGGCTAATTAGGGTTCATATTATTTTAAAATGAATCATCCTGATATTCATTCATATTTGAGCTCATATCCAACTTATTAATTAATTAATTACTAAATAAGAATTTAATTAATTCTTTTAACTTTATTTATCCACTTAATTAACTAAAACTCTTAATTTGATAAATAACTAATGTAATTAATATAAATATATATGCACACACATAATAATGGTTAGAATATAATAATTAAATAATATTTAAATATAAAATATTCCAATAATATCTACATGCCTCAAGGGAATCAACCATGTAAACAAAGGGCGATGACGATTCTCTGACTGACGAATATGCAGACTTGATACAACATACCACCATTGAAATATAAGTCTCATAAGTGTCACGAATTGTACCTGAAAATGTAGCTATAATACTAACTCATGGGGCATTCACAAAGTTCATATATTTAGCAACATTAATTAATTTCAATTTCTATAAGATTTCAATAAGATCTTTAATTTTTAACATAGCCATTTTCTACCCCGAAAATCAGATAATATGTCGAAGGATTGAATAATGTTGCTTTTAGATCCTTTTTTCAGTCAAAGGTTTGTTGAAGCATATAAAGGTTTGGGAGAGTGGCGACGAGTTTGAGTGTAACTCAAAGGCGAAACTTTTTCTAAACAATTTAGGGTCAGCAATCCCAACTAACCCTTGATCACTTTTCTCTCCCTATTAAAAAATATTACACATAATTTAAATTAATTACATTAAAAAATTTCCATGTAATATTTAATTCTATTAAAAAATTATATATAATAATTAAAATAGTTTATTCTTTAAAATTATAAACAATTTCAATTTTTTATTTTTTAATAAATATAATTATTTATAGGGTTAAATATGTCTTTTGTCTCTATAAATTATCAAATTTTATTTTTGACCCCTATAAAAATTCATGACATGTTTTAATCTTTACAAAATTATTATACACGAAATTTTAATCTCTGCTGTTAAACTGATGTGTATTTTTGAATGATTATTTTACATATATGTTTAGAATGTTATAAAAAATTTCTTGAAAAAAAGGAAATTAAAATTTGATTTCTAAATCGAAATTTTCATTACTTTCATCAATATTTTTTTAAATTTAAAAAATTTATATTTAATTTATCTCATTTTAAAAAATTCTAAAATTTGATAAAGAAACATTTTATAGTATTCTAAACACGTATGGAAAAAATTAATCAAAAATTTAAAATTTTAAGGATAATTAAATAATTTTCAAAATTTTAGATAATAGTAGAGACTAAAATTTTATAAATAAAATTATTTTAGAGACCAAAATATAACATTTTTTAATAGAGATTAAAAATAAAATTTGAGATATTTATAGAGACTAAAAATATATTTAATTCTTATTTATATTACTATTGAAATAAAAAATAATTATAAATGAGGTGAAATTTCAATTTTGTCACTTAATATTTGCTACATCTTTAATTCACTTGTCACAACATAAAAATGAGACTCAAATAAAATGGAAGATTAAAATCTTGAAAAAATAGAAATGAAGGGACTAATAAAATCAGATTTTAAAATAAGGGAATTAAAATTCAAAAAAATTAAAAATAAATAGACCAAACTTAAAATTAAACCTTAAAAAAAATTTAGCACGTGTCTCAATCATCATTCCTTATCCCTAAAATATTTTTTTAATAAACATTATATATAGAAAAAGGAAAAAGTAGTACAAACTAGAGGGACATATAGCCTAAACCTAATGCATTGAAAAAACCAACAACCTTATCCCTAAAATATTGAAGATAGGAGAATGAATATATTTTTAAGATGATTAATCTATAATATAATAAAATTAGATCTATTCAAAAATTTAATTTTATCATTTTACTCTAAAATCACAACATGTGGCTTCCTACAAACACACCTCTTTATTAATTCAAATATCTATTATTTTCTTTCTTCTCTAAATATTTTCTTTCTTTTCGTTCTCTAAAACATGTCGGTTACGAAACTTCAATTCCAACCCTTCTGCCTTCCTTATCTTTTCCAATTCTTCCCAATTTTACAACAGTTTCGCATTCTTCGCCGATAAAGATTTCAAGCTTGTAACGATGGCGGTTCCTCTTAAGGATACTGAGAGCGAGAATTTGTTGGATTACCTTGAGGTTTGTATTGATTTCATTGATCAGAGTAGGAAGGAAGGTGGCGTTTTGGTTCACTGTTTTGCTGGTGTTTCTAGAAGGTTTCAATTCCAATCATCACTCTCCTCGCACTTCAATCTCTTTTTTTATCAATTTCAGTTTTCTTGGTTTTACTGAAATTACTGTGTATTGATTAGGGTTTTACTTGTGTTTTTATATGCAATCCATCAGTTATTACTGCTTATTTGATGAGAAGCGAGAATATGTCACTAGAAGGTGTGAAATGGAAACCAATAGTTTGTTAGAGTCTTCAGGGACTTACCTTTTGGTAGTGTCTTTCTTTTTGTTTTAGAATGATTTTTAGTTTACTTAACCATACAATCATGAATGAATGTTCTAAAAGCTTTGCAACACCGACACCTCCAGAAAAAAGGTGTGTTTGGTCTGTGTCAGAAACTGACACCAACACCTGTGATTACGTTTAGTTTATTATTTTTTCAAATTATTATCGATGTCGACGTGTCAGTGTCCTTGTCGTATTTTCGGTGTCTGTATTTTGTAGTCTAAAAGTGCATGGTATTAGTCTCTTTTCAAAATTAACTCAAGTCACAAGACCTTGATTTTAGTATAATTTTTAGAAAAGTAAATTTGAAGAGCTCTGCATCTTGGACTTAAGTGTTTATTTTTCTGTGCTTTTATTTGCTGCAAATGCACTTGAATCGTTAAAGGTGAGTTGTGAACTTGTTTTCCCCAATGATGGTTTTCTAGAGCAGGTTTGTGTTATTAAGATCACTTTGTATGATGTAAATGTTGTTTATACTACTTTACAGTGAGGATTGTGACATTTTTATGTGTTTTTATTGAGGTTGAGATGTGAAGATTTGTTATAGGTTTTGTGGTTTATAGTGAGGTTGTGAATTGATTTTTGCAGAGGTTCAAGATTTGCTTGGTATGAATTTCGGTGGTATTTATAAGGTCATGATGTAAGAAATTGGACCAAAAAGCTTTAGTCATAAAAAAGAAAGAAGATGGTAAGAAACTTTTTGTTTGAGACATTTAGTAAAGGAAATACTATACTTTTTTTACTTTTATAAGAATTAGGAAGCAAAGTGTTTTCTTCATGGTTTGACCCATTTGCTAAAGTATAACTGATTTGTATTTGTGCAGGGAGGAAAATTGAAAGAAGTGCATAGAGCTCACATGCTTAATGCTACATTTTGCAATCTGCAGTACGTTTATATATGATGCACCACTGATTCATAGGTCTCTCTTTTCTAATGTATTATGTTTAAGTTTCGTAGTATTTGATTCAGCAAGCTCCTAAGTTGCTCTGTCATGACATCCAGTATCATTATGCGTTGACTAATATCTACATTAGGTGAATACAAAAGATTGTGCAGTGTGTCGAGTGACTCAAATGGACACGTGACTGTCAAGGCAATTAATGCTCTTTGCCTTTTGTCTTCTGTTGATTCTTCTTCGCCTTCTAAAGCTATATCACAGCAACGCACCTGAAGAAGACTTCTGGTAAGATCCTTTGCAGCATGTTTTAGTTCATCTGGGGGTGCTCTTATGAGCTTTTCCACCACATCAAGAGCTCTTTCCACCTGCAACCAAAGTAAAAATTTAAAAAGCATTAAACTTTTAGAAAAAAAGAAGGATATGAGGGAACTTGTGTCATTAGGAATTTATATAACAATTGTTGGAAAATTTAATTATTAATAGCCAATTAAACTTTTAGCATGGCACAACATGTCAAATTTAGTGTAGATAAGACAAATAAACAAAATTCAACTACATGGTGCTATGATAAGAAAAAGACAAACCCCGTCAGCATCGTCGAATTTTCTAAGAGCTGCAACTACATCTGATAATTGTGAAAGTTTTCTTTTCAAATCTGAGTTATCATCTGAAAAATCATACGACTATAAAGATGAATCACTTGAGGAATATGAGTTCTCACTTCCACTATCATCACCATCATCCTCATCATTAAAATCTGACTCTAGATTCAGTGATGATGGATCAACAATCTCATCTGGATCAAGTACATTGAAGTCCAATAATTTCTTTTTTCCCTTTAAACTAATGTCATTCTCTTTATTGGGAAGGGAATCACTCTCCCTCTCTGATCCTGAAATTGTAGATATATATGTTTCCTCGAAACCATTTTTTCTAGAATTTGAGGCTGTTAGTCTCCCTTTCTTGAGGTCGGTGAATCCAAATGTCCAATATATAGTCTTCCCGTTGCAGCTATCATCAAGGTATAAAGGATTTTTTGGATCAATAATCATAGAGAATGCCAAAGCAATGTCATTAGCCATTTTTCGAACTAAATGATTAGGACTCTCCAACCTACCTGAAATGATTACACACAAAAAATAGAAGATTATGAGTGTTGACTACTGATGTGCAAGAAGGTATAATGACCCACAAATAATCAAATTTTTAAGACTGCTGAGTATGAGTAAGATAATTAAGATTGACGCTCAGACCTATGTGTATAGGTTTAGCATTGTTTTACGGAAGCTACTAACAGATCACATGCCTTTTGAGGGAATGTATAATTAACAGGTTTCTTATGTCGTTGCTTTCAACTACTAAATTCGAAATTACCGAGTGATTTTCATCAATCATCTGATTTTTCATTACTACTTTTCTACACATTTACAAACTTTCAATCAGCTGATAGGTGAGCTCTTAAATGGCCTTACATTTCAATTATTCTGATTTAGGACTTTTAGTTATTCAAATTTAGCGTCTATTAATTACAAGTTAGTCAAAAAAAGTGATTTCGATAACAGTCTTCTTTTCCCCAGCTTTTGGGCATTTGAAAAAACTACGGAAAAATCGAAATCATCTTTTGTTCTTATATTGTGGTGTGTAGGCAGGTGGAATTCTCAGTGTCTCTTTTTTTGGTGCAATTGTTTTGGTCGTAGCAGTAAGTTGCTCTCTACTTCGAGTTTTTAAATAGGCTGAGTTGTTGATGGTGGTTTGTATAGCACAATGTAAATTCTTATATGTGCTCCTTTGTTGCCGACCGTTGGAAATTTTATGTTTCTTCTTCTTTGTTGTTACTAAAATCCCTAACACAATTGTGTAGCAACTGGTATTTTTATCAAGAGTCGCCACTATTAGTTTTTATCCTAGGGAAAGGAATCTAACAGTAAACCCTAATTCGCGGACAAAGATTCTAGGTTTCGGACTCAATTAGACGAAAGGAATGTGTTAGGCACCTTTCATCCACCTTGTTCACAAGGATATTAAGCTTTAGGTTTAGGTTTGGGGTAAACAGTGTTTTAAATTTTAATTAGCAAGACTCGCCACGATTTTTAATCGTATGCCTACGTATCCTCTTATGAGGAATCAAAGTCTCAATTCGTAGTTCGTATGGGTTGGTGTCTTTTAGGGGTTTGCAAACATATTTTGAATCCCTTCGCACTCGGTCGAGAGTAGTGATTGCGGAGATTTTGACTGAGAACACAGTAAGCCAAAATTAGTTTGAAACCCATTTGCAAAAAAAGACGGTTGATTAGCTTAGTTTTATTCGCGAAAATAGTTTGAGATTTGTTTGTGTTTTTTAATAATATTAATTACAAAAAAAGTCTTGATTAATGCATGATAAAAAAGATTTAATACAATATACGTGAAAATAATATGTACATGAATTTTGAATAAAATATATTTATATGCTAATATAACAATATTTACATAAAATAAATAATAATATAAAAATAACAGTAATATTAGAAACATATGATGATAATAATTAATAATAATTATTATAATTATAAGTAAAAAAGAAAGAATAAATAATTAATAGAATATAATATAAAAAATATATAAAAAGAAATAATAAAAAATATTAATAACTTAGGTAAACCTGTGGGGTGCAGTTTTCTTGTTGATAAGCAAAGAAGGGGGTGTTAAAAGGAATATAGGCTAAGCCCATTATGGTTCAGTCAGAGGGGTGCAAGATGTTTTGTGTGTTTAGCAAAGTGGCAAAAGGGGGCGTGAAAAGCAATTGGGCTTAGGCCCAACAAATTTGAAAGGGGTCTGTGATGCGGTGGGGGAACTGACTTGAGGTTTTGCGTTTGTGTTCGCAAATGTTGCGGTTTAGCAAGAGTCGCCACCAACTTTTATTTTATCCAAAAGGAAAGGTAAAAAAGCACAGGAAAGACCTTTGAGATTGTTTTTGGGTTCGGGGGGTAGATAATGAAAAGGGAAGGTGCTAGCACCCTTTTCATCCATAGTTTTCCATGGGCTCTTAGTTACTTGTTTTAGATCACTTGCTTTGCTTTTTCAATTGTTTGAAATGGTGCTTTGTGTGGTTTTGAAAATATTTTGAAAAGAGGCCATTGTTTAGGCAATCTTGGTAATGATTCTTGTTTGTAAGAATGTATACGAAGATGTTTGTCTTTTGAAAAGTGTCTCAATGTTTTGAAAGTTGTTTGGAAATTGTTTTGAAATTGTGTGTTTGAAAATAGCAAGGATTGTTTGAAAGAGATCAAGTAACTATGAGTTATCTACCTTATTCAAAAGTCTTTCCTACACATTTTTATTCCTTTGACATTGTTGTTTTATCATTGCATTTGGTAAACAACCCTATCTTTGGATGTTAAACGGGACGGACGTGGGTTATCGTATGACCATGATAGCAATGATGCCAAGTATCTTAGCAAGTTTTAGGGACTAAGATCATTTGTTTTTAGGCAACATTTTGATAGCATCATCGAGGGACTATGATCTTTTTGTTTTGATTTTGTTTTGCCAAGATACCTAGCATGCATACCATGGCCATTTTAAGGCAACAAAGTGGATGAAACCCTAGGGGTACTTGTGTGCAATGTGTTGTCATTTTTCATGCATTTTTTGTCTTGGTTTTTGTTTTTTTCATTCAAAACCCTAGTTTACTATCATGGCATATGAAAGCAATAAAATGCATAAAGTAAATCTAAACTATTACAACAATATTATGGGGAGGGGGATACAAGTTTTTGAATAGGGGGATATTGCTCAAAATAAAACTCTAAAACTATTACAACCAAATTGAATTTATTGTACAAATAAATAAATAAGCAAATATTTAAATATGCAATAAAATGTAAATATGCAAGAAATGTTTTTTGTATTAATTTTATGTATGAGAAAATAAATTTATTTATGTCTTAAAAATAAGAAAATAAAATGATTATTTTTGAAAGGGTGAAAACCCTAATTTTGTATAAAAGAAATATATGCTATATTATTTATTTATTTCATTTATGTACAAGAAAAAGTAATAATAATATATACAAAATATTAAAAAATTGAAATATGTATGAAAATATTATTTTAAGTGTATAAATAATATATATATATATATATATATATATATATATATATATATATATATATATATATATATATATATATATATATATATATATATATATATATATATATATATATATATATATATATATATATATATATATATATATATATATATATATATATATATATATATATATATATATATATATATATATATATATATATATATATATATATATATATATATATATATATATATATATATATATATATATATATATATATATATATATATATATATATATATATATATATATATATATATATATATATATATATATATATATATATATATATATATATATATATATATATATATATATATATATATATATATATATATATTATTTTTATATTATTTACAAGTTTTATTTAAGAAAATAAAGTATATTATTATTAATAAACTATTTTTATGCCCTAAAAATAATAAAAGTAATAAAATAAAAATGCAAAAATTTAAGAAAATATTTTTATGATTTTATAATGTTCAGAAAAAATAATAAAAGTAAAAAATATAAAAGAAATGAAAAAAAACGCAAAATAAAGAAAATGGGCCAAGGGGTGCAGAAAGTAAACAGGGGGGGTGTGAATAGAACCAAGCCCAAGGCGCCAGGCCCATACAAACTTCATCCCTGACCTTGAGACATCACGCGCGCGCTTCTGTTATACAAATCTTGTTCTTGCTCATGCTTGCATAAAATCAAAAACTTATAACATGAAAAATGTAGCTCATGATCACACGATTCCAATGATATAAAGAACTTGACCTAACTCTCAAAGATCAGAGAGAATTTTAATGGCCCTAATTTCTGACCTAGTTTTTTCAGCAACTTCAACTATCAAATACTCCTAGCTCAGTTAATATAAAT